GCAAAGCGAGGTTGGCATCTGGGGAACAGGTCAGGGCCCCTGCATGACACCCAGCTGCTGCTCCATGGTGGGCAGGGCACACGGTCCCTGGGCTCCCTCTCCACTCTCCCCCCCCATACACATAAGGGGAGCATGATGGCACTCACATGTGGAGCCCTCCCCGGCTTTGGACGACACAGCTGATGTCCTCTGTGGGATGCCTCAGGGGTCCTGGGTCCTGGGCAGGCTCCCTGCAGGCTCCTGGCTCTCAGCAATCTCCTCCTCCTCCTCCGTCTCCGGGACAGTGCTCTCTGCCCCGGGGTTGATCATCACCCGGGGGGCATGGACTGTGTGAGCCCCCACGATGAGGTCCAGGGCCTCGTAATGAGGGCATGCCTCCGGGTCGACCCCTGGCTGGGAGGCCCTGGAGTAGGCCTGCCGCAGGTCCTTGATCTTGCAGCACACTTGCTCCCGGGTCCCGGGGCAGGCTCCTGTGAGCCACCAGTCTGGTCCTGGGAAGAGGTCGAGGGCTGGGTGGCAGTGGGTGGCTGGCTCATCTCGTGCCAGGTGCAGGGTCTGCTGGCTGGGTGCTGGCAGGCTTGCACCTGGCACACGCACCGTAGCCAGACCGTGCTCCTTTAAGGGCTCCGGGGCCGGGGGAGGGGGCAGAAGAGTTTCCCTGGTTGTGCCCAGAGTAGCCACCAGGGCAAGCTGGGAAGGGCTAGCCTCCAACTAGTTCGAATTAAGTGGCTACACAGCCCTTAATTTGAACTACTTAATTTGAAGTAGGCGTTAGTCCTCGTAGCATGAGGTTTACCTAGTTCAAATTAAGTTTGAACTAGCAGTTTGCATGTATAGACGCTATGAAAGTTAATTCGAACTAATGGCTGTTAGTTCGAATTAACTTTGTAGTGTAGACATACCCTGGGTGAAAACCCTGAAGAACAGCATCTAAGCTTCAGATCAGTAAAGAAATAGCCAAGCTGTGGTATTAGTCAACACAGTTAGCTTCAGTAGCAAGTGGCACATGCAGACCGTTTGACCCAGATTTGGAAAATATCTGTAATTTTTTTTGGACACACAACAATCAAACAACACGTATTTCTCAGTGCCACATGCTCAAAGAATCTAGTTACTTTAACTACAATTTTAATGCAGGTGCATACCCACCATGTGTTGACTGGATCTATAATCAAAGGGCTTCATTGGACTCTGAAATACTTTTTCAAGATCAGATAGCTGTTGTGGCCAAGTTGGCTTTTGATCGTTTACTGATGTTTGTACCAATTCCTTATAGACACAGAGAGTGTGACCATCAAGCATGTCTTTGTCATATTCAGAACAGTCTTCTGCAATGAGCTGCACATGGGAACACACCTTAGAATCACACAGAAACTGAAACTGGTCTAGAATGCAGCTACCTATTTGATAATTGAAACTTACATGAGAGGATTCATCCCATATTCCATGAAGCTACACTGGCTGCCTGTAGGTTTCTGGGTAATGTTTGAAGTTTTGGTTTTAACCTATAAAGCCCTCAATGGCTGAAGGCCCTATCTACATGAGATACTCTTCCCATACATAACCCTATGATCAAGCTTAAAAAACAATGAATAGTCTTGCGGCACCTTAGAGACTAACAACAAATGTAAATAGTATCATGAGCTTTCATGGGCACAACCCCTTCTTCAGATGAATGGAATTAAGGGGTCCAGGTTGCAAAATAAATAGCAGAGAAAGAAAGGGGATGGGGAGGGAGAGAGAAGGAAAAAATGGGAAAAAATTGTTAATTAGAGTGTCCATGCTAAATGAAGCTAATAGAGTGGATTCTTAGTACTCTTAAGTACCTAGTGCTTGGCTTTTTATGTCATTAGGATGTGGACTGTAGCAGGAAATCTAGTTAAAGTCTTTGTTTAAACCTCTATTGCAGTAATCAAACTTGTAAATGAAATTAAGTTCTTGATTTCCTTATCAAACTGGTTTTTGAAATTGGCTTGTAATCACATGGCAGCGTCTTGACACCTGCAATAGAAATTTAAACAAAGACCTTAACTGGATTACCTGCTACCTTCCACATCCTAATGACATAAAAAGCCAAGCACCGGGTACTTAAGAGTACTAAGAACCCACTCTTCATTTAGAATGGACACTCTAGCTGACATTTTCCCCTCCTCTTTCTCTACTATTTATTTTGCAACCTGGACCCCTTAACTCCATTCATCTGAAAAGTGGTTTATGCCCATGAAAGCTCACGATACATTTGTTTTAGTCTCTATGGCGCTGCAGGACTATTAGTTGTTTTTTAAGATTTTTCAGTTGCAGACTAACACAGCTACCCCTCTGAGACCTATGATCAAGATCAGCTGGATTGGAGTCTCTAGTGGTACATAAAGCTGCATATTTTCTGTGTGGGTCCAATGGAATTAATTCCCCACCATGATCTGAAATAGTCTGAATCTGATAAGATCCAGGACATATGGGAAAGTTCATCTTATCCCCAGTCATCCAAATATGAGGGTAGAAGGGAAGGAGACTATAAGCATAGGGATTATTATAACTTTCCTGTGTTGCTGCACTTTGGTTATGTTTGGGCATTAATATTGTGGGGTTGGTTATGTCAGGAATACCTAGACCATATAGAGTACTGCTCTTGGTTAGCAAGTGTATATACAGTACATCTAACAAAATATATAAAGTGAATTAACAGAGGTGGTATAACATTCCCTTTGCAGCAGAATAGGAAATAGTAGCCCCTGTTGCCAGTCTACAAAATGCTTTTATTGCTCTCTCACAGCCCAATCTTACAGACCAGCAGTCAACAGAAACTTTGCCATTGACTTCAATAAGCTTTGTATCAAGCCTTTATTCTGTACAAGTCTTCTTTCCAGACTCTTTTTGAGGCTACTCCACCTGGAATCTTGGTAAACTTCTCAACTGCTCACATTGATGGTGACTTGTGATAAACATAAGGACTACATAACGGTATAGCAGGGAGGAAGAGAAAACATGCACCAAGTAGGTATAACATGAGTACAGACAGATAGAAAATAACCTAAATGTCAGCATACTCCTGGATGTCATCATTTTTATAAATGAAAGTGAAGTGTAAGCTTTGCAGGTTTACATGACTAAACTTATGTAAAAATAGATTGATATGTAACCAGGGTACCCTGCCACATAGGAATGGAAATTCCTAATTATTTGTCTAAGACGTGACATTGATTTGAAGTATGTGGTGACCTCAGACGAAAAGCTAGTACCTCCTAGAAAACACCGTCACAGGAAATTGACAGGTGAATTTAATGAACTGCAAAACCCGAGTCAATCATTTAGAGCAACAAGGCTACAGGCAACACTTACCTACAGAAATCAACCAGTTGGGTTATAGATGTAGCCAGCGTCTTTTCAGAGAAAGTTAATGCTGCTGATATACACACTTTGCAAACACTTCCTGTTAAAAAGAAATGCATATTACAATAAATCAAGAGTGGGCAGAAAGGTACATCTGGCCTACAAATATGGAAGGGCAACCAGTTTGTACTTCATGCCTTCTGAAACCAGCACAATAATCCAGGTGACAAGACATCTCTACAAAGACACTTAAATTATCCAAGGAGGATTACAATAAATCAGTCAGAAGCTTCCCAAGAGGAGGAGTTCAGTTGCCTCCTTTTGCCTTCTTGTTTGTATTCAGCATCTCAAGATGAGATTAATCTTGAGCCATTCTCACTATTATTATCTGTCACATAAATGAAAGTGCTGTCTGATGTTAGCTTTTTTTTCCTTACATTAGGAATAGGTGGGGATATGTGCAAATACATTTCTCAACCACTCATTTAATTAGTTGGATTTTTATTTACGGAAAAAGACCTTCTGAAAGATCGATCCTTCCCCTGGTAGTGTCTAAGCCCCAAGGGACTGGGGTTAAACTGTATTGATGTGCTTGAAAGTCTTTAGAAAATGGCACATAGACTAGGCTATATTAAGTTTACTTCCAAGTGCCTGGCCTCCAAATGAGTATGTTTTATCAGAAATGTTTTTAAATAGTAAAAAGTGGCATATCAGCATCAGGAAGACAATTTTAAAAAAGGTAAAAGCTATACTGATGTGTCCAGGAAAAGAAATAGGGACTGGGGAGGAGAAAACAAAGGAGCAAAGAATGATTGAGAAATGGAGAGACAGTCTGTAAAGACCTCTGCACAACAGCTTGGAGCATTCTTCCCAGATTTACAGATACACACTGCTGCTCTTCAATCTAGTTTTCTAAAGGTAGCCGTGCAGCTGTAGGTAGTACAGGCAGCCGCTTGGGCTAGCAATCTGAGTACAAATCAATCCCGACCCCTGCTTATGTATTGAAGCATCTAGCCCCAGTTACTGCCCAGGCTATATGTAGCTACACTGTTATTTTTAATGAGCTAATGCAAACAGAACTAGGCCATGGCTGTCAAATTGGGTAGTAGGCAAACAGCTGCACTGCAAACCTATCCTGAGAGCGGGTTTGGGCAGGCATGGGAAAAAAGCAGATTGGAATACCTAGCTAGAACTGAGTGCACTATAACCTCCATACTCTGGGTGTCTCTAATTGGTGAAAACCTTTGGTACAGACCTAGCAGACAAAGGTAGAAGCGGCTCTGTATGCTGCCTCTCTCCTACTCCCTGAGCAAGGGGAATGGCAGCACCACACTCTGCTTCAGGCTTTTCCCCTGCAGCTCCCATAGATGTAAGGGGCAGTGTCTGGGAGCAGCAGGGAATGCAGTGAACCAGGCACAGGCCCTTCCTCATGTGATGGGGGGAGGCCACAGTGGACCCCTTAGTGATGCTTCCCGAGCGTTGACAAGGCCACGGAATTTGCCTAAGACGTGACATTGATTTGAAGTATGTGGTGACCTCAGAAGAAAAGCTAGTACCTCCTAGAAAACACCGTCACAGGAAATTGACAGGTGAATTTAATGAACTGCAAAACCCGAGTCAATCATTTAGAGCAACAAGGCTACAGGCAACACTTACCTACAGAAATCAACCAGTTGGGTTATAGATGTAGCCAGCGTCTTTTCAGAGAAAGTTAATGCTGCTGATATACACACTTTGCAAACACTTCCTGTTAAAAAGAAATGCATATTACAATAAATCAAGAGTGGGCAGAAAGGTACATCTGGCCTACAAATATGGAAGGGCAACCAGTTTGTACTTCATGCCTTCTGAAACCAGCACAATAATCCAGGTGACAAGACATCTCTACAAAGACACTTAAATTATCCAAGGAGGATTACAATAAATCAGTCAGAAGCTTCCCAAGAGGAGGAGTTCAGTTGCCTCCTTTTGCCTTCTTGTTTGTATTCAGCATCTCAAGATGAGATTAATCTTGAGCCATTCTCACTATTATTATCTGTCACATAAATGAAAGTGCTGTCTGATGTTAGCTTTTTTTTCCTTACATTAGGAATAGGTGGGGATATGTGCAAATACATTTCTCAACCACTCATTTAATTAGTTGGATTTTTATTTACGGAAAAAGACCTTCTGAAAGATCGATCCTTCCCCTGGTAGTGTCTAAGCCCCAAGGGACTGGGGTTAAACTGTATTGATGTGCTTGAAAGTCTTTAGAAAATGGCACATAGACTAGGCTATATTAAGTTTACTTCCAAGTGCCTGGCCTCCAAATGAGTATGTTTTATCAGAAATGTTTTTAAATAGTAAAAAGTGGCATATCAGCATCAGGAAGACAATTTTAAAAAAGGTAAAAGCTATACTGATGTGTCCAGGAAAAGAAATAGGGACTGGGGAGGAGAAAACAAAGGAGCAAAGAATGATTGAGAAATGGAGAGACAGTCTGTAAAGACCTCTGCACAACAGCTTGGAGCATTCTTCCCAGATTTACAGATACACACTGCTGCTCTTCAATCTAGTTTTCTAAAGGTAGCCGTGCAGCTGTAGGTAGTACAGGCAGCCGTTTGGGCTAGCAATCTGAGTACAAATCAATCCCGACCCCTGCTTATGTATTGAAGCATCTAGCCCCAGTTACTGCCCAGGCTATATGTAGCTACACTGTTATTTTTAATGAGCTAATGCAAACAGAACTAGGCCATGGCTGTCAAATTGGGTAGTAGGCAAACAGCTGCACTGCAAACCTATCCTGAGAGCGGGTTTGAGCAGGCATGGGAAAAAAGCAGATTGGAATACCTAGCTAGAACTGAGTGCACTATAACCTCCATACTCTGGGTGTCTCTAATTGGTGAAAACCTTTGGTACAGACCTAGCAGACAAAGGTAGAAGCGGCTCTGTATGCTGCCTCTCTCCTACTCCCTGAGCAAGGGGAATGGCAGCACCACACTCTGCTTCAGGCTTTTCCCCTGCAGCTCCCATAGATGTAAGGGGCAGTGTCTGGGAGCAGCAGGGAATGCAGTGAACCAGGCACAGGCCCTTCCTCATGTGATGGGGTGAGGCCACAGTGGACCCCTTAGTGATGCTTCCCGAGCGTTGACAAGGCCACGGAAACTCACTTTCCTGCTCTCTGGGGCTTCTCACCACCCAGTCCTGTGGGGCCAGCTCCCTGGTCTCCCCCAGCCAAGGCACAGAGTTGCCGTCCTCCTCCCCCCACAAAGAGGAGCAGTACAGATACTGAAACTCTTCAGGTCCAAGGAAAATACAGTTTGGGGTCCAGCTTCCAGGGATATCACTCCCCAAATGGGATCAGAACCCCAAATGATTTAGGAAGGTAAGCCTTCTTTCACAGTGCAAGGAGGATGCACCAAATGGGATCAGAAGCCCAAATGATTTAGGAAGGTAAGCCTCCTTTCACAGTGCAAGGAGGATGCATACGCTGACTGCTCCCCCAGGTAACCATCATTTACATTAGGCTAGGTAGTAAATAAAAGTGATTTCATTAAGTACAAGCAGTAGGATTTAAGCAGTTATAAGTGAGAACAGGCAGAGCAGAGTTGATCGCAAATTTAAAACAACAGAAAACACTTAGCTAATTCTAACAATAAAACCTCAGCATAAACTTATTACGAACTCACCCTAAAATTCTTATTCTAGCTATGCCTCCAAACCAGGGAAGTCTCCTTTTCCCTGGGGTCTTTAGTTATTCTCTAAGGTGTGCCACAGCAGCCCAAGACAAAGAAACTCCAAGCTTCATATTGTTTTATAGGTACCACCTCATCATGGACAATTACTTGGTCTGCTCCTACCAGTTGGGGTGGAGATGCAACTTCCTAAGACCAACCACTGGTAAGATTTAAAGGAAAAAGAGGGTGTTTACATTTGGTCATCTAGACCATGGGTTCCCAAACTGGGGGGTGTGCAAGGTGACCCAACCTCCCCTCCCCCGGTCAATCTATTTTGTTTTTTGGCTCTAGTCTGTTCCTTTTTTTTGCTCAACAAGTTTTGCTGCTAAGGGGGCGTGATGCCAAAAAGTTTGGGAACTACTGGTCTAGTCATTGAGGGTAACACCCTTGATGGCTTTCATTTGCACATTTAAAACCCTAAACCATTCCATACTCCATATATTTAACTTTACACACAAGAATGATACATGCACCAAAATAAAATATACAGAACCAGAAGATTGTGACAAGAAGATTGATAGGTTACATGAGATAATTTGTCCAAAGGACCTTTGAGTTAGGCATATCTGTGTCCACAAGTCTATTTTCTAAAGCATCCCCCTCACTCTCTTCCTGGACCAGCAAAATCTTTAATCCGGCAAACTGTTTCCTCCTGTACTCCCTGCAGCAGCAGAAGCCATGGGAAAGCAGAGTGTACTCAGGGGGCACACCCGCTCTGCTGTTTTCCATATCCCTGTGGCTCTTTCCACCACTGGGAGTGTGTGCAGGTCTGACCGTTGCTGCTGCATGGTGCCAGGCTCCCCCACTATCCTGGAAGCTGCATCTCTGAGGGACAAGAAATAGGGAAGAGGGCAGGGTGATGATGGTGCCAGGCTCCCCCACTATCCTGGAAGCTGCATCTCTGTGGGACAAGAAATAGGGGAGAGAGCAGGGTGATGGTAGAAAGGGGTGGAGTTTGAGGAGCAGTAACGGACAGCCCCCCATTAGGGCTGGATTGCACAATTGCTCCAGCTGAGGATGGCCAACAAACTGGGAGTTTAAGACCCCTGCTTTAAAGACTATTCTCAGGTTGCTATTGTTTTCAGAGGAGAAAGCAAACTTTCTAACAACCCAGTAAGTATGTTCATAATTGTTAAGAGGAATGAGAAGAACCAAAGAAAGCCATCCAAAACATGACACTGTTGGTAAAACAGGAAATTCAGGCATTTTCACTAAGAGCAGTAAATGTTAAGGCCCCAGTCTAGCAAGCCATATAAGCATACAAGTAGTCCTGTTGAAGTCAGGAGAACATCTCAGGTACTTAAAATTAACTATGGTAATTCAAACAGATAAATATGAATAATGTATTAGTAGATCCACCAGAGGGCCAGATAATGTTGTGCATGTGCATGGCAAGATTAGACATGGGCTGGTGACTGTGTCAGAGATACGAGAGAAGGAGCATGTAAAGTGGTCCATCCCCTCAGCTGCCAACTAGCATTTGGAGACGGAGTGTCAGATATTCCTCTGGCTTGCTACCTCCTGCTGACAGCCATCCCTGCAGTTGCTTGTAATCTTCTGTGTCTCTGACCTTGTGGTTGAGCCATAAGTTGTGCTCACCCCTTCTGGGGTACATCAAAAGTCCAGAAAGGCCAGTTCCACTGGCTAGGAAAGGGCTTCAGGTCTCCCTGGGATATGGATTTTTTGCTTCAGGCCAGGGCTAGATTAACTCTTCTGGGGGATCGTGGCTAATACATTTTGTGGAGTCCCCTGGGCTCCAGTGTGAGGCCAAAAATGAGGCCAAGTCACAGCACACAGGTGCTTTAAAGGCTGCAGCCCAGGGCCCTGAGGTAAGGGGGCTGCAGTCCCTAAATCCCCTTTCATAATCCAGCCCTGCCTCCAGCCCCATCAGCGTGTAGAAAATAGAACCCAAGCCACCAGCTCAATGAGATACCCCAGGGTACAGCCTGGAACTGGAACTACTGTGCCCCTTTCACTGTCTCCAGTCTGGCTGTCTCTCACCATGCCTTGCTAGGGATCAACATTAACACTCCCAGGAGCTGTTATTAATACGACCGCATGAAGCGCCCAACATCCCGCCAGATTACATAAATACTCCCATAGCCACTAGTATCTCTTAGAGTAAGGCACCAGTCAACTCTCCCCACCCCAACTCCAAGTACTGTACCTCAGGAATATACCATCCAATTTAATGATCGGTTCACCACTTCATACACCAGCTTGTGTAAAACCTGAAGAGATATTGGCCACACACTTCATGCAAACTCACTGGTAAAGATAAACAGCAAAGGAAATCGTCTATTGACTACAAAGAGGGAATCATAGTGGCGGTAAGTGTTAGGCAAAAGGTCAGAGTAGTTACCAAAATAAAATCTAAACATGCAGTCTAAATTCTCAACCTGACTGGTCTGTGTAACAACTAGATCAAACAGTTTTTCTCACCCTATTGGATATCACAGCCAATAGTACACAGATTTCGCCCATGAAATCTGGGCCTCTCCCCTCTGTTGGTGTCTTTAGAGCGACCTTATTGTTAGCAAAATGGTGGGAGAGAGAAAAGCAAAGCATAAACCCCTGGGTTTGATTTTTATACCCTCAGTCCCCTGTCCTTGGGGAGCACAAGTCCAGGCATAGCTAGGGGTATTGCTGAGTCTCCAGGCAAAGATGAGTTGTGGCTTCATGCAAGTGAGCTATCGCATTGTAGCTCCCTTTCTGGACAAAGGCCATTGATAGCTGTTTGATACCCCTCCTGAGCATTGGCTACTCCTCTTCACTTCCTTTTGTCTCTGAGGAGCCAAAATCTGCTTGGTTCCCCAACTTACAGCATGATATACCTATACAGATAGAGAAATGACTTTCAGCAGATCATAGCCTTTCCCCTGATGCCGCACAAGGCACGTTTAATATGTAAGATCACAATTATATCAAACTGAAGAATATGGGGATTACAGGGCACTCCTCCAGAGTATAGAACATCACAGCCACCTGCCCACTAGGATCTGATCCAGGCCCTAAGAAGGGCCCGGCTGTGCTGTGCTGCTGTCTCCCTCAATTATTTCCTACCAGCCTCCCCATGCAAGTGGGAACAGTAAATACAAGCTTCTCCACAACTGCAGATGTAGAAAAATGGAGCTGTCCAGACCCAGAGCAGATCCCTAACTCTTTCCTCTCCAGTGTAGGCTTTATACACACAGTTACAGGTTGCTTTGGGGTGATGTAAATGGAAGTTTAAGAGGTCAGAGATAGAAAGAGACATTTGAAAAGACAGGTCAATAGGAAGCTGTAATAAAGCAAAGTAAAAGTTTTAGGTAGGATAGATATGTCCTCCAATTAGATTATTCCTTCATTAATATTCTGTTTTAGTGTTTGCTAATGAAGACCTATACAGGCAGTCCCCGGGTTACATGGATCCGACTTACATCGGATCCCTACTTACAAATGGGGTGAGGCAACCCCGCACTAGCTGCTTCCCCCCAGCAGACCAGGGAGACGCGAAGCTAGCACCCCTCCCCTCCCCAGCAGACCAGGGAGACGCGGAGGTGCTTTTCTCAGCAGACACTTCAGCTTGAGAATAAAGGCCTGAGGGAAGTGAGGTGTGGGAGAATAAAACTGAGCTCTGGAGAAATGTTCGGCTAGAGTTTCCCCTACAATATGTACCAGTTCCGACTTACATACAAATTCAACTTAAGAACAAACCTACAGTCCCTATCTTGTACGTAACCCGGGGACTGCCTGTATTGTTTTGTCCCATTCAGGAACAGTCAAGTCTCACTTCTGTTAGAGGAAGAATGTGAGACTTGAATATTCCTGAATGGAATACTCAGATACTTCTTTTGTGGGATATGGGAGACTTAACAGCTAAGTAAACTATTGCTATATATTTCATCAGTCCCTTAATTTTGATTTCATAGGAAATTGCAATATTTTGCTGTGTACCAGCCATCACTTTCCTAGCTATTATATTGTTCTATCCCCTCTACTAAAAATAGTATAAAAATGACCAAAATGTACAAGTGCTACTACTAAAAGCTGTCATGAAAATAATGATTAAAATATGACACAGGCTTCTGATGCCAAGTTAGCAACCACTTTTTATTTTCATGTATTCTGGTATTTCTTACCAATATACAAATTACTTTCCAAAATAATACTAAATATTTTCCTAATATACCACTAAACATTAATTTTATAAGATTAGCTGGATAATTGCTTTAAAATGTGCAATTACGTTTTTATAATATATTCATGACTTTATTAACATAATATTTTTAAAGCGACAATTTTTCAGTGAGAAATTACTTGAGTAATCTTCCATGGCTGAGAGAGGCTTGTTTACAGTTTATATTTTCAATTTGTTGTATAAAAAATCCCAGCCAACAGAGCTGAGAGATCAACTTGAAGTGAATAATTTATTTGATAAATATAGTTTATTTTTCTACTCGTGAACTATACATATACAATAGAAAATATTTTTTTTTTAATTCAAATTTGCTTAGGAACTAAGTGACTGCCCTTCCCCACAGTTTACTGATCACACCATAGAAAAAATTGTTTACTTAAACATTCTCTTTAGCCCCACATACACAGACCTTTAAAACAGAATACAGTTGTTCTGCCCACAGTCTCTGCATTACAAACATTTTTTTAAAAATTCCATCCCTGCCTCCCTGTACTACCTCCTCCACACACACACACCCAGAGCTTCCCACGTTTCAGAGTCATTTCAAGTATTTGGTCTCCATTGTTTTTGTTTGGTTTTTTTTTAACCACAGCACTCTCTTTATCAGTTCAATGTTCCTGCAGAGAGGGCACAGCTTTCCCGCAGGTGCCCCTTTTAGTTAAATTTGGAACCAGAGGGAAATGCTCACCTCCTCCCTAGGTGTCCTCTATCAGCTGTTGGCACCATGTCTGATCATTCATTTTCCACAGTTAGTGTCTCTCATCCTGTTGCTTTTGTTTTCCAAGCTTTCCTCCTCACACTGTTGGTTTTATCTGCTATTTGTTGCTGCCATGTATCATGTGTAGTGTTCTCCCACCTACACCACCACCTGTTTTGTTTCTGACTGTATTGTTCCCTTTGGTTATGTTTTTCTCTTTGATTTTTAGAGGACTAAAAGGTACCTTCACAGCATGTTCATGACTTTACTCCCCTATTCATTCTCACACAAGAGTTTGTACAGTTCTCTCCTTTCCTCATTATGTTTCTTTTTGTTTGCTTAGATGAAGATTTTGATGGTCCCCGAGGAGGCTTTTCAAAGGCAGTGAGCTGCCCAAATGCCATCTTCATTCAATACAGGTTGGGCACCTAACTCACATCGGTACTTTTGGAAATAATGTGCCTAATTAGTTTTAGGCTCCTAGAAATATGGCCTGATATTCAGAAGTGATGAACAGAAGCTCAAGTTCAACTCACAGGACCTGCTAGGTCATCAGCAATTTTTAAAATCAACCCACTTGTTTTAAACAAAGACTTAGAAAATCAAATTTTAGGGATATAATTGTGAAAAACTTGGCCCTGTCTTTATGTTTCCATTTTGTCTCCAAGAGCTGTAAAAAAAGATGATTATGAGTTTGTGGTTAAAGTGCAAAACTCTGTTAGGCCTTGTCATTATACAGCTTGAGTCAGACAATAATGATGAAACCCTGGGGCTCATCTGTTCTTCCACACCATCATTTATGTTTGTAGACTTGACAACCTCTTATTTTGTTTATTTTGTAAATATGACTATTGTCAGAAACACTGGCAGACATTTTATAAAAGAAAAAACGATAATTGGATAGTCTTGCTCAAAGAAGCAGGTCCTTATGCTTCTTGAAGGCAAAACATAATCATCCACAGGGGAATCCTTAGATTATCACTTGAGTCAGTCAGTAAAGGGTAAGCAAAAAAAATTCTGAAGAAACAAAATATTCAGGGGGTTTCCCCACTATTTTCCACAGATTTTTTTCTAGTTTCTCAGCCAGCAAAAAAACTAATTTTGGCTTTTGAAAATTCATTTTTGATTGGAATAAAACAGAACATTTTTTCAATGAAAATCTTCCACAAAAGATCATTTTGAGAATATGCACCCTTTTTCTGCTTTTAAATGATGAGATTGAAAGATGTCAACAGGGTCTGGACGTCACAAAATTTCACCTATGGTAGTGCTGAGGTTTACTATAGTGTCTTGAATATCATTTTGAGGCCTGCACCATACCTGCAATGACACCAGTGAGCCTATAGTGTGATGTGTGCACAACACCATAAACACTGCATTACATACATGTTACAATGGACAGCATACCATTTGAAAACATACCTAACTCAGACATTAGTAGCAAGCTACAAAAAAAAGAAGCTATGTTTTTTTACATGTGTACAACAGCAAGATATAGATTTGGGTTATTTTTAATGTCCTTATTCTCACTGATAGTTGATAATTTCTTGCAAGTTGTCATCTTGCTTCTTTTGATATGCTTTGCACCCCATCTGAGCATGTTTTAAATAATTTTCTTGATCATATTATGAAACAGATTTTAAACATCTGTATCTTTCAGGCATTCACAGTAAAGTCCTCTACAATTCTGGGGGAGCTATTGAAAAAAAGTAATTAGTCTGGCTTGATGATAGACAAAAAAGCCACAAATATAGATGGTAAGACATACAAACGCCAAGGACTAGCTGGAAAAGCTTATATGTTCTTTGAAGAAAATCACTGTCGTACAATTATGATGTGGGATGGATTATACCCAGGCACACACGCGCACACACACACACAAAACAACAAAAAAAACAAAATGAAAAACCAAAAGCCTGGACATTTAAGATGAATTTATACTAACACCTGTACATGTATCCATGCACATGTCTAAGTTGCCATAATAGTGACATCATCCACACTTAAATCACAGAAGCATATGTCTGAAATCATGTAGAGGGAGAGAAGCCAGTATATATAAGAGTGTGGGTAAGTACATGCCCCATCTGTGCATCAGGCAAAAGACATGCACCAAGTCTGGAGTTTCAATAATGTACTACCCTCATTCCCACTATGCTAACCAGATCAGAACAGCTTTCTTCTGCTCTTTTTCAGATCATGCTGCTAGACTGCTGGCCACACGTGTATTATCAAGCACTTGAGGCTAGAGATTGACAGTCACTATAAAAGGGTGTATCATGCTGGCTCCATAACCTGCTCCTCAAGCCCATCAGCCTCACTGTTCTCCAGGATGCTGATGACAGTCAGGGCAAGGATGCACTCAGACTGTGAAGGATGCTCAGAGAATGAGGAACATGCCATTTACCTCCTCTTCCTAAAGGAGCCAGTTGAAGAATGCCTCTCCTGATGAACGTGAAGAGTACCCCCAAGCCACAGCTGGACCTAAGGCTGACAAATTGCAATGGATCACCACTACCACCCTCTTGATCTGGTGTCAAATTCTGATTTTAATATCAAGGTCATTTGAAGTACAGTGTACTGACTTTTCCTCCTGGGATAACATGCCAAGTATTTCTACATCTGTGTGTGTTTGAAATGCAGTGCAATAGCCATGGTATTGTCATGTGCCTTCCCTTACCAGTCTCTTCCAACTTAGCGGTCTCCATCTAGCCCACAGTCTGCTTTACCCCAAAATGGTCTTTCAGAAACAGAGTTCTGATTCCATGATTATTTTGATTTCTGATGAACAATTGCATCTAACTAGCTTCAAAATTATTTTTTCACACACTTGGTAAAGAAAAAAAAATCAGTGAACTCCTGTGTAGGTGCATTTCTCAGCCAGCAGGAGGGCTGTGGTGGTCCCTGGGGGCTTCGACAGGGAAGAGTAGAAAACTTACAGTTGGTTGTCTAAGGAAAAGTTGGTTACGGCAGTGTTTTCTCCCTTGGAAGATTGCAAAGTTGTTATGGTCTCTGTTCCCAGCGTTTGTCTTTCATGCATAGCCAGTGGGTAGCAGGAGAGGGAGAAGGATCTGGACCAGCAGTCAGCTAAAAACATTTGTCTCTCTCTCCAGTTATTTGAGAAGAGGGGGTGATACATGATACCCATGATACAGTCTGGACTGATGAACATCTGTGTTTTCACAGTGCTCCAAGATGGGTTCCTCTTACAGTAGTCTGCTATGAGTTTACCACTCCTAGGCTATGTCTATACTACGGGGTTTTTCTGGGATACCACAGGTATCCTGGAAAAACTCCGCCACGTCCAGGGAATGTGTCCGCTTTTCCAAAAGAAGAAGCTGTTCCAAAATTTGGCCCAGTGTAGACATCAGCCATTTGTGTACCTTTTTCCGATAGATCATTGTAGCATAGACATAGCCCAAGTCTATTCTCACAAGTTCTCCAGCAGGTAAGATACCCCAGTTATCAGTGCTCTAGCCAACCATTCTTCAATGACACTGCAGAGCGATAGCAGAAAATTCCCAGTCCCAAACTTTCCCAATAAATGTGTTTCTTGTATTGGCCAGCTCCCTCCTAGAGTACACAGGCTTATAAAGCCTGTTATTTTAATAATAGAAAATTATATGTACAAATCTTGTTGGCCCAAATGGAGTTTCCTGAACACTTCAATCTAAACACACTCATTAGATAAAATAAAAAGTTAATTAACTAAAAAAGGATGGATTTAAGTAGCTATGAGGAATAAGATATAAAAGTCAGAATTGGTTACAAGAAAATAACACTAAAACAAAGTGAATTCAAATCAAAGGTATCTCTCTGTCTTACTGAGTCTTACTGCCTGAATTCCTTTCAGTCAATATCCCTCCTCCAGTCCAAAATGATTTCCTTGGTTCTTCAGATGTGGTGGATGACATAGACAGAGATGGTGTCCCTTCCCTCCTTTTGTTTAGTATTTATTCTTCATGTAGAGGAATCCTCTAACTTTATATGTCACCCATTTGATAAGTCTCAGAGGGGTAGTCATGTTAGTCTGTAATTTAAAGACAATAAATAGTCCCGTAGCACCTTAGAGACTACAAAAATATGTATATAGTATCATGAGCATTTGTGGGCAAAACCCACTTCCTCAGATGAACAGAGACAAGGACATCAGTATCCTCTTAGTTTTGAAGTGATACCACACAAGGCATATTTTATACAGAAGTTATTGTGGACCTGTAAAGGGAGTGAACATAGGTGGTGCAGATTACTACAGAGGGGTTACAAAGCCAACCAGAATAATCAGGAAACCTAGTGCAGATGAGTTATCTGTTTGTCCTTCCTTTTCCATTTCATCATTGTTAAGTAGGCACAAGACCAAGATTTTCAAGTAAAACTGGGTTGTTTGAATGGGAGTGGTTCACAATCTCCTTTTGAATGAAACTTCCTTATGCTAAAACATAACAGTCAATTTCCAGTGGAATTGCCCTCCAATCCAATAAGCATGTACCATTAAACTTCTGTTCCAACAAAATTCTAATTGGTCCTTAAGTATTATCAATATTGCAAAACTGCTTTTCCACCTTCATCACTAAATGAACCGATCTAGTCAGCAATATGTAGAAGGATGACCTTTAGCAGAAACCAGTTTCTGTCATAGATTTCAGTCCCGTGGAGAAGATCTGGCAAAGCCATAGCTTTTTCCACTTTGTTACTTGGAGACCATAGCATTTTTCAAAATGTTGGCTAGATTTAAGGGAAAAATATTGTAAACTGGTGTAACAGCCCCTGGAAGAAATTACCCATGCCCCCTTACTCCCATTGAGCCACTGTGGACATTTTAAATTCTTTAATACACTAGCACACTTTTCTTATCAGTACTAGCCCTGACTCGGATCTCAAAAGCTGCAAAAGTTGTTTGAAATGCAAGGATAGAGAGATAGCCATATTACTAGAATGAGGAAGAGAATCAAAATTGTGGTTATCAGGTGAAAAATTATTTATGTGAGTGTTATTTCTCAGCTTCTTTCAAATATCCACAATATAACATTCCTCTACTCTATCAACTGGTAGCACCTAGGGCTACCAAGGAGAAAAAAGCCATCAAGAGGGCAGGAGTATCACTCCAGAAACATCAGAAGTAGACAGAAAAGGCTCCTTGTGGAGATGCTCATAGGAATGGAACAAAGAAACCAAGAGCAGTTTGTATTCTTTGAGATGTGGAAGGAGCTCTCTCTTCAGGAAAAGACAGAAAAATGAGGAACATGAGTATTCATTGAACCAGCAACCAAAAGAGTCCTCCAGATACAGTAGCCTTAGAAGCAGACTGTCAGTGGCTGTCTCCTCCTCCAGAATATCACAATATACTGGCACCCAATATACTGGCACCACTCTCAGAACAGGTCCCCACTTCTTACAGCGCATCATTGTCTATGGTCATTCATTCCCTCTGGAGGAGGAAGAGAAGAATAGGGGTGCAAATACATTAAACTATGGGCAGTGCTTGCCATTGTAAACCCTTGTTGTAGTTGTAATACCAAAATATTTCCATTAAACCTTACACTTCATACTTGAAATAAATGTAATGTTTGTTTCATTGAGTGGGGTCCTTCTTCCTAATGATGAACTGAATTATTTGCTGTTCTTGAATGGGCTGCAAGCTTCCTACCTCATGTACTAGAATGATGTATAAAATCATGCTCCATGATAGACTAAAAAATATTTGCACTCACCCACAAGGTTCAGAAATATCTTAAATCATACAGACACATGGGAGGGATAGAGGGAGTGAAGTGAATGGTGTCACATGCTTTTTTAAAGCACTACTATTTTTCTACGTTTTTCATGTGTGTAATATCACAGGTAAGAAGGTCTAATGATCTTCAGCTACAGAGGAACAAAACCTCCACAAAGCAATGTAGCCCAAAAACAGTATCAGTGTTTGCTGATGTGCATTTCTAGCAGCAATACAGGATTTGAAAGTGGTCTTAGATATAGGCAAATGTCATCCTTAACCATCCTACCATGCCAAGATTTATGCATATATGACATCTCTGATTTCCCTGGTCTTTTGGAAGCCAAGACGCACATGCCTGTGGGTGGGATCTGACTTTTTACAGTTTGTAGGCCAGACTTGTCCTGAGCCCAGTTGGGAGGAAGCACTTCCCCTGCCCCTCCCTAATATTATGCAGTGTGCAGCAGGTGGTGATTATATGAATGCTGTGTTCGTCATATTGGCAGCCACTCAAAGGAGTAGACAGCAGCAGTGACCTTATAGTTTATCAGAGCCACACCTCAAAATGATTCCACAGCGATTTAACTTGTAACTGACTTCACTTTTTTAGGGTAATTGATTTTGGGGTGCAGTTTCCTAAGCCAAAACATGAGACACAGAGATGTTAGGATCAGGACTTCCAAAATAACAAAGGGGCATCAGAGTCAGTAAAGCAGGGGGAGTACAAGTTGATGCCATCGGGCGCCGGCTTTTAAGCCAACTCCTTGCAAGCACCAGAGCCATGGAGCCACCTGCTTTCCCAACCCCTGCTCTGCTGCTCTCTATCAGAGGCAGCAGCATGAGGGGGAGGAGGGATGAAGGCGGAAGCCAATACTTATGGGGAACATGACAGAGGTTTCTGCCACCCTGTGCTGCTGGCAGGGGGCTCCCCAGAAGTGAAGCCGGGAGTGCACTGGCTGCCAGCCCCACCTCTGGGTACTATTGAATATTTGTGTAACTGGTAATATTTTGTGCGGTTACATGACTATTCAAGTAATCGCTATCTAACATCCCTCGTTTTTTATAGCATGTTGGGAGGGGTCCTCAGAGAAAAATGTTGAGAACCCTCTGGACTGAAACATACCATTTTATAATGACAGGGCTACAAAATATCACACAGATCTCTGCTTCTCTTGGAATTTGTGTGCTAAGTTTAGAGCATCAGCCAGCAAACCCTTAATCAAACGAATAGTCTTGATTCACATAAATAGCCTCACTAAAGTCTAAGGTTTGCTGGACTGGATGCTTAATTTGGTAGAAAGAATGAAGTGCTTGATGATAGAAACAAAAACAACACCCAGGAGGGCTTCTGGTCTAGATAGTGAGAAAGTGAGCATTCCATGTTTTTCATTTCAGTGGTTTAGCCCTTATTTTAAGTTTTATGCTGCTTTCCTTCAGTTCCCATAATTTGGAACATATTTCTCTTGAGCATTTTACATCTTTGTAATCAATGCAGCCATGGCTTCTGCTGGGGTTGGGCCAAGAGACACTATCTTCTCCTTTTCCTGCTACCTTAATTTCTTATTAGTAGTTCTGAAAGTAATAGGAACTTGCCAAGTGGGCATTACTTAAATTTAGCGTCCTCTGTTTTCTCATCCATCCTCTCCGCTGTCTTCTCTTCTGTGCTTTACAGCTCTGTAAATTGCCTATCTTCAAATGACTCCTTAATTCAAATGCTTCACTAAATCTAAGCTATGTGAGAATCAACTGCCAGCTCATCCACAACATTGCATGTTTCAGGACACTGACTTCTTCTAAATAAATTCCCCCCACTGCTAGAGCTTGCAAAAATCTCTCCCAGGCTGATATTTTAGATTGGAATGGGCGGAGGGAGGAGGAAAAAACACAAGGTATGAACTTTTGTCTTATAATAGGAAAGTTAATATTATACGTTAGGAATGTGAACCTGTTACTAAGGATATGACTACACTGCAGAGTTTTTCTGGAAGAACTACACTTACATCCACACTGCAATCGCGTTCTTTCAACAGAAAGTCAGAAAAACAGAGGGGGTTTTCCGACAGCAGTAAACCTCTTTCTACAAAGAAGAAGCCTTTTTCCAAAAGAGCTCTTATGGAAAAAAGTGTCTGTGGATGGGAAAAAGGATTTTTTTTCTGAAAGAAGAGGCTTCCAGGGAAAAGCACAGGTGTGCTTGTGCTGTGTGGACGCTCTCTTTTGAAAGAAGTTTTTCCAGAAGATCTCTTCCGGAAAAGCTTCTTCCAAAAGAAGCCTGCAGTCTAGACATAGCCTCAGTCACACAGTATTTGAGGAGGAGGAAGATAAGCTATGGGAGGCCTTCCATCTGTCTGAGTCGGTCAGAGCAATCACTGGGGGAAAAACTCCACCACATTTGGACTGAAAGGATACTGCACTATAGTCTATCCCCACCCTCTATTCCATCCATTCACCCACCTATCCTGCAACATCTCTGATGAGTTAAAGCCCACAAACACATTCATTCCCACCTCGGGGAGGCCAAGGATGTCTGGCATCTATGTTTCCCCACCTCAATAGTGGCTGACATACAGGAGTAAAACATGTGTGAGGAAACCTACTTGAGTAGTGCACTGTCACAGACCCCGTCACAGTATGGTACCTGGTAGTTTATAATTCATTATTTTGGGGCCACACATGGCACATTCCCATTAAGCAGAATTCTCATTTGTATTTAATCTCTATGGTATGTCTAGACAACAGGGTTTTGCCGACAAAGGTGGACTTTTGTCGACAAAACTATACCTGTGTCTACAATGCTACTGAGTTCTGTTGACATAACGTCGACAGAACTCAGCAGTTTTGTCGACAGCTGTAAACCTCATTCTATGAGGAATAACACCTTTTGTCAGAGTTCTGTCAACAGAAAGCATTATTGCATCTACACTGTCCTTGGCATCTACACTGTCATGTCAACAAAACGGCTTGCTTTGTCGACAGAACTGGATGTAGTCTAGATGCTCTTTGTCGACAGAAGCTTTGTCGACAGTATCTGTCAACAAAACTTCTGTCGACAAAAGCCTGTAGTCTAGACGTATCCACTGAGTGTGTCTACATTGCACCATTATTTCAGAATAACTATCGTTATTTTCAAATAACAATGTGAGTGTCTACACAGCAATTCCGTTTTTTTGAAATGATATCAAAATAATGGGCAGCGTATTCAGACTTCTGTAAACCTCATTCCACGAAGAATAACTCCTCTTCCTAAACAGCTATTTTGAAATAGTTGCAGTGTGGACACTCCACTGCTGCTATTTCACAATAGCTTCTTACCAGAGCCATTCCAAGTGATTTCTTCCCAGTGTTTCCTGGGGCTCTAAATTGAGATAGCACAGTCACATCAGGAGAACCTACCTTGGACTAATTTTGAGGCTTCCCTGAACTGTGGTCGCTTTATTTCAAAATAAGCTATTTAGAAATATACCTTCTGGAACAGCTTATTCTGAAATAATGGTGCAATGTAGACATACCCTGTGATTTAAAAACTGATGGTTCTATTCCAAGCGCTAAAGATAAGCCTCCGCTGGTCCTCTTATTATTCTCAGTACAATTATTCTCATCTTTTCCTCTCAATGAGATTTGCTCTGATTTTACCTTAATGGTAAGTCAATACAAAGCATGCAGTGAACTTGCACTACCCACATCGCCTTCATCTACTGATATAGAATTGCTTCTGTTGAGGAGTTGTTTTTTTAATTCACATGATTTAGTCTAGAGTTTGCACATGTAGGCAATAATATCTACAAGTGTCAATACCACTTGATACAAAGTTAGAAAGACCCACATACTAGTGACAGTGCTTACAGAGCACATACATTTGTCCATGTGCAAAATTATAGGTGTACAAATGAAACATGGCCTCCTTTAAAAATTGGCTCAAAAGAAGCATTTTCATATGTATTTCCCCAATACTCCCCAACTATAAATATAAACATTTTTTCACATATTTCAGATAAAATAAATTGTGATCTGTCTTGGACAATTATGAGACTCTGGAGAAAGAAATCATACAAAACATTGGAGATGGAGAGAGACAGAGAGAAAGAGAAAGTGGGGAGCGATGTGCCATTCCACATATGGTTATTTAACTAATGTGTATAGTATATTAAAACTCTCAGATTGTGTTGAATGGGAAGGATTTAATTTAAGTGTATTTTTAAAACAGAATATACAGCATTGCTGTATGTCCTTAATGGTGAGAATCTGACACACCTGACCTGACACAAACAGTATTCCCTCTAAGTTTTTCCTTCCATGTGTGGAATACATTTTGTCAGGTGCACCAAGGCATGTGCAAAAGTGCACCACCAGTAGAAACACATGTGTCTAGCTCCAGGCACTACAGGCACTCTGCTAATCATCTGGGTGGCATTTGCATCTCTCCGGAACACTCGCTCAAGCACTCAGCTTACAAGGAGCACTGCTGAGGAATATCTGAAGTACCACAGTGCAAAATTAGAGTACAGCTTTGGAGATAAAACTACATAAATGTTTCTTGCAAGATCTTGTCATTTTTACAAGTATGAAAAGGGAAATAAATGGTCAGAATTTCTAAACAAACATTTAGGTTTGCTTTTAATTACTGTTTCAGTTTGCTATAACTGTACTTTTGCAAGACAAGGTTTTTTGCAACAGTGAATGACTGCTTTCTTGAACCTTGAGTTTAGAAAAATACCAAAATATTTTGACACCTGGCTGAAATTAACTAAGCAAAGCTTTCATGGGTTCTCTTATTTTATCACTGAAACTTAGTTTTTCAGCCCCAGGTCAGCAAAGCTTTT